GGTTCGTTCTATCTCATTTTATAAATCCCACATTCAATTGGGCTATGCATGAAGCATTGTCTTCGTATAAAATTGTGGGTATTTTCTTACATTCCAAACCATATTTTTCTCGAATAAAATGAATTATTGATCTCAACCTTACACATTCCCTACTTGCTTCATGAATAGCTATTATTTCAGCATGATTTGAAGAAGCAGCAACAATAGATTGATTTTTGGAGCGCCATGATATGACAGTACCTCCACATGTAAACATGTACCCGGTTTGAGATTTAGCTTTATGGGGATCAGATAAATAACATGCATCTGCATAACCAACAAGATCTGCACTATCTTTGTTAGCATAAAACAAACCCATATTAAGAGTTCCCTTTAAATATCACAATATATGCTTAATCTCGTTCCAATGTCTCCGTGTAGGAGAAGAACTATATCTTGCTAGTAAATTAACAGAAAATGATATGTCAGGCCTTGTAGCATTAGCAAGATATATTAGTGCACCAATTGCACTGAGATAGGATACTTCGGGACCAAGGAGTTCCTCATCCTCTTCTGGAGGTCGGAACAAATCCTTATTCATTTCAAGAGATCGAACCACCAGTGGTGTAGTCAATGGGTGTGCTTTGTCCATGTAAAAGCGTTTTAAGACCCTTTCTGTATAGGCAGATTGATGGATAAAGATCCCGTCTGCTAAATGTTCAATTTGTAGACCAAGACAAAGTTTTGTCTTTCCAAGATCTTTCATCTCAAATTCTTTCTTAAGATATTCAATTGCCTTTTGGAGCTCTTTTGGAGTTCCAACAAGATTTATGTCATCAATATAAACAGCAAGTATAATAAATTCTAAAGCCATTTTCTTTATAAAAATACATGGACAAATAACATCATTTATATAAACCTCTTTTAGCAAATATTCCCTGAGGCGATTATACCACATGTGCCCAGATTGCTTTAAACTATATAAAGATCTTTGTAATCTGATTGAGTATATTTTCCGAGATTTTGAATATGCTTCAGGCATTTTAAATCCTTCGGGGATTTTCATGTAAATTTCATTATCAAGTGACCCATATAGATAAGCTGTAACCACATCCATGAGATGTATTTCAAGCCTTTCACGTAAGGCTAAACTGATGAGATATCGAAATATTATGGCATCCATAACGGGTGAATATGTTTCTTCATAATCGACTCCAGGTTGTTGTGAGAATCCTTGTGCGACAAGGCGAGCCTTGTATCTTTCAACTTCATTTTTATCATTCATTTTTCGCACAAAAAATCCATTTATGACCAACTGGCTTTGTATCAGCACGTGTTTGGACTACTGGTCCAAAGACCTCTCTTTTAGCAAGTGGCTTCAATTCCGATTGAATTGACTCTTGCCATTTTGGCTAATCAGATCTTTGTCGACATTCTTCGACAGATCAAGGTTCAAGATTCTCACTATCTCTCATAATGTTAAGTGCAACATTATATGCAAAAATATTATCTACCATTATTTCAGATCACTTTAAATTAATCCCATCACCAGTAGAACTTATTAAAAGTTCCTTACTCACTTGAGTCTCGGGTTCATTGATTTCTCCAGGAATCATAGAATTAATCAGATCATGGGTCTCTTCAGGAGATCCCTTTATAGTATCATTTTGATCATTTGTTGATATTCGTTTTCTAGGATTTCGATCCTTAGAACCCAAAGGCCTACCACGCTTCAGGCGTGCTTTAGGTTGACTATCTCTCATTCTAGTAGATGGTCCTGCTGGGACATCAATTCGGATAGGCACATTCTCTTCATGAATATGTGACTTAGTTATCCATTTCAAATCAGTAAATGTGTATGGCATTTGATTTGCTATATTCTGTAAATGGATGATCTTCTGGACCTCCTAATTACATATAGAAGTACGTGGATCAAAGTGAGATAATGATGAAACTTTACACACAATTTCTCTTTTGATTTCTTTTTTCTCTCCCCCTAATTGTGGGAAATTTGTTTCATCAAATCGACAATCTGTAAATCGAGCAATAAATAAATCTTCTATCAATAGTTCAAGATAGCGAATAATAGAGGGTGATTCAAACCCAATATATATTTCTAACCTTCTTTGGGGGCCCATCTTACTACGCTGTGATGGTGCTATTGGCACATATACAACACATCCAAAATATTATAGATGGGCAATATTTGGTTCATGACTAAAAAACTAATTGTGACGGAGAATATTTATTATAATGTGTCGGTCTGAGACGGATAAATGATGTTGCATGCAAGATAGGATGGCCCCAAATAGTAGTGAACAATTTTGTTTTCATAAGTAGTGGTCTTGCTATCAATTACATGCGTTTAATAAATGACTCTGCAAGGCCATTTTGAGTTTGAACATAAGCTACAAGATGTTCAACTTTTATCCCAACTGATAGACAGTAATCATCAAAAACTTGAGATGAGAATTCTCCATCATTATCAAGGCGAATAGACTTTATAGGATAATGTGGGAATTGTGCCCTTAATCAAATTATTTAGGCTAATAGCTTTACAAACGCCGGGTTGCGAGATGACAGTAGGCACACATGAGACTATCTTGAAGATGCATCTATTAGGACCATAAAATATCTAAACAGCCCACTTGGTGGGTGAATAGGTCCACATATATCCCCATGTATACGTTCTAAAAAGGTAGGGGATTCAATGTCAACCTTCATTAGTGATGGTCTAGTGATCATTTTGTCTTGATAACAAGCATCACAAGAAAATTAATTATTTGTTAGAATCTTCAGGTTCTTTAATGGATGCCCACTCGAATTTTCAGTAATTCGTCTCATTATTATTGATCCAAGATGACCTAAACGACCATGCCAAAGTACAAAAGTATTTGAATCCGCAAACTTCTGGTTTACGATAGAGTGTACTTCAACTGTACTAATTTTTGAATAGTATAAGCCAGAAGATAAAGTTGGTAACTTTTCAATAATGCATTTCTGGCTAGAAATATTCTTTGTAATACAAAGATATTCCACATTCATTTCATCTATTGTCTCAACATGATGCCCATTTCGGCAGATATCTATAAAACTCAACAAGTTTCTTCGGGACTTGGAGGAGAACAATGCATTGTCGATAATAAGTTTTGTTCCCTTAGACAGAAATATAATGGTTCTTCCGGAGCCTTCAATCAAACTTATATTATCAAAAATTGTTGAAACATTTGCTTTTTCCTTATGCAAATAAGAAAAGTATTTCTGATCCTTGAATATGGCATGAGTTGTTCCACTATCAATTACACTAATATCTTCATGATTGGTCTTTGATCCAAACATAATTTGAGCATTATACATATTCTTCAAAATGACATAAAAAATATATATTATAGTAAACATCATTATCAAAGGATAACTTTTATTTATGTACAATAATTACATAACCATACTATCTATTGCAAACAACCAAAATTAAAATATTTATATTTTTACAGATTCATCACCGATCACATGACTTGTTTCTCCTTCGGGGAGTGCAAAGTAATAAGCTACATCCAAATGCATGAAGTCTAAATTATTTTCAGAAATAAAATTTGCTTCAACATTTTTCTCTATCTTCTTCAGGGAGGCTTGATAAAGCTCAACCAGGTGCTTTGGCGTACGACAGGTACGTGACCAGTGCCCTTTTCCTCCACATCTATAGCATGCATTTTCTGCCTTTGTTGCTTGCACTGTTTCATGCTTTTGTTCCTTCCTTTTCCACTGTTGGTGGTGAGGAGGGTTGTTTGGTGCATTATTATTACCACGATTAGATTTTCTTCCCCGACCACGGCCATGACCACGTCTGAGGCCACGTCCTCTTCCACGCTTAGCTTGGTGGAAGTTCGTCTCATTCACTTCAGGGAATGGACAAGAACTAGTAGGTCGGTTTTCATAATTTTTCATTAATAGCCCATTATGTTGCTCGGCTATAAGAAGATGTGAGATAAGTTCAGAATTCTTTTTGAATCCCATCTCGCGATATTGCTGTTGTAGGAGCATATTCGAGGCATGAAAAGTGGTGAAAGTTTTCTCCAACATATCATGATCAGTAATATTATCACCACATAATTTCAATTGGGAAATAATTCTGAACATAGCAAATTATATTCACTGATAGATTTAAAATCTTGTAGCCTTAGATGAGTCCAATCATTACGTGCCTGTGGAAGAACGACCATCTTCAGGTGGTCATATCTATCTTTTAAATTATTCCACAGTATGATCGGATCTTTAATAGTGAGATATTCCATTTTCAAGCCTTTATCAAAGTGATGGCGTAAGAATATCATTGCTTTGGCACGATCTTGGTTTGATGCTTGATTTTTGTCTTTGATGGTGTCTGCCGGACCCATCGCATCAAGATGAATTTCCGCATCAAGCACCCAAGACATGTAACTTTTGCCCGATATATCCAGGGCTACAAATTCAAGTTTAGAAAGATTTGACATTATTTAGAAAAAGAAAATTCGTACATGTGATACTTTCAAAGTATTTGCTCGAGATGGTAGAGTCTCGTGCTGATAACGTGTTATAAAATAAAGACTAGTATAGAGAGAAACTGATATATTATTCAAACTTCAAACTTATTTACATAATGAACTGAATTCTCCTCTATTTATACAAGAAAGGAAGCTGCTACTGAAAGCTGCTTTGTAAGCTGCTACTTTAAGCTGCTTGTAAGATGCTACTGTAACAGATATATATAATCTTCTATCATGAGTAATATTTATCCATAACGGAGTAGCGAAATGATAAACTCATTGTACCAGATATAGATAATCTTCTACCAGGGTAATTTTTATCCGTAACGGAGTATCGAAAGAATAAGGTTATTCAGATGTTTATTTTCAATAGAGTACTAAATAAATAAATATATTTAATGCGAAATATCATGTGAATAAATTTCTTGAGCAAGTTTATTTACAACATATTAGTAAACAAACAACAAAATTTAACCTTTCATCTAAATTTGTTACGACTAATATTGAATAGGTTTTTAAGCTTTCTTCCTTATTTCTGCCGAACATTTCCTCAGCTCAGCAAAACCCCCAAAATGGAAGTAGACATGGAAAATCTATTTACACCGCCGTGGCTGGAATTACCGCCGGAGATTACATCGACGATACTACAGAAGCTGGGGACGATAGAGATACTGAGAAATGCAGATAAAGTGTGTACAACTTGGCGCCGATTATGCGAAGACCCAGCCATGTGGCGAGTTATCAACATGCGAGACAATGTTTGGGACATGTTGGAAGGTTACTTGGAACAGATATGCCGCGAAGCAGTGGATCGTAGCCAGGGTCAATTAATTGATATCAATCTTGAGTACTTTGGCAGCGATAATTTGCTCTATTATATTGCTGAAAGGTCCCATTTCTTAACCTTAATTTTCCTGTTTCTTTTCTCTCTCTTGTATATGCTTAATTGTCTTACTTTGGAGTCAGTTTATAGGTACCTTTCTGTTATGCTAGGAACAATTTTTAACTAGAATGGGAAAACAGGATTTTGCTCTAGCTTGAAATTTAGTTACAATTCGGAAAAAATACTCCCCTGTCCCAATTTATGTGAGGGCATTTGACTGGGCACAGTATGTAAGAAAGAAAGGAAGGTTTTTGAAACTTGTAGTCTAAAACATGTCACAAGGAATTATATGGCTATAAATAATCTCATTAAGGGTAAAATGAGACGTTAAATTGTTTCTGGATATAGAAAGTTGTCATTCTTTAGGGATACACCAAAAAGGGTAGATTGTTACATAAATTGAACCAGAGGAATAAGCAACAGACGAAGCTCGATCAAACTTCCTCCATTTGACCCATCACCTGAATCGAATGAGGATAGAACAAAATTAGAATAAGATGAGAGAGAGAGAGAGAGAGATTGCTATAAACGTGATTCCTTCTTTCTGGTTTTTGTGGCATTTGTATCAATGAAGAAGAAGAGCCTCCACCATTGATGTCAATTTGTGGATTTAAATTGTGGGCCGTTCTATCTGATTTGCAGTGTTGAGTAAATAAGTGTAATTCAGACTTTTCCTGGTCCAAATGTCGTAATCCCCCTTTTAATTTAACTCTCCGGCTCTCAACACTTTCATTTTATTATTTGTGATATTAATCACTTACTCAATACTTTTAAACATTCTTCACCTAACATTCCACCCTCTCCGAATCAGTATCTACCTTAAAACTGCAAATTGATGAATGTGGGAGAACTGATTCTTCAAGAAATCCCAATCATCTCTCCCCAGTGTAAGATTTGACCATTGCACCAACACCTATACTGCAGCTCGATTATTTTTCTTAATCATCCTCCTTTTTGAAATGTCTATTGGCTACTAGTTCAATGAGAAAGTGTCCTTCTTCTCCCAAGTTTGACAAATTAGTATGAACGGTATTGTTAGCTCCTACCTTCTTTTTCAGTAGTGATATGTGGAATACTTTATGTACTGGGACCCCATAGATAACTCCAATTATAAGACAACTGGCCTATCATCAACAGTGCTTTAGAAGGCCACTGTATTTTGAGCTTAGCTTGAAGTTCTTGCGCAAGGCGATGGAACTTATTCTATAAGGTTGCAGCTTGAGGTACCACCCCATGTCTCCTCATGGAATTCATGCTCAGTCTTGTCAGCATAGTATTTCATTCTGGCTTGTGCTTTGGACAGGTTGTCTCTCAGCACTTGTCTCATGGCTTGCCTGTGCGAGATACTATGTGCACCTTAATGAGTGACTGAAGGCCAAGAGATAAATGAGAGGAGGAATGGAGGATAGCCATAAATAACCTCAAAGGGAATGCAACAGAGAGCAGTATGATAGTTGATATGCACCACCATTCAGCCAAGGGAAGCCAAGACATCCATTTCCTGGCGTGTCACATTGTCATAGCTCTGAGATAATTTTTTTTTATAAGGTAAATTGTATTAATCAAAAGGGAGAAAAAACTCCCGCATACAAGAAGTATACCAAAAAGTAAAGAATTTACATCAGAACATGATTCTCTACAAAAGACGCCCAATCTTCTACACAAGTAGGGGCTATATGTGTGCACCAAAAAACGATCAAAGATAAAAGGCTATTCTTAAGATGTGAAAACGGAGACTCAATCCCCTCAAAAACTCTCTTATTTCTCTCTCCCCAGACTATCCACATGAGAGCTAACAGGGCGAACTTCCACGCCTTTTGTTTGCTTCTTCTACGGAAACCGGCCCAGCTATATAGCATTTCCTTTACAGTATTTGGCATCACCCATTGAACACCAAAAAGATTCAGGATTGCCCTCCACAAACCCCAGGACACAGGGCAATGCAGCATAAGATGATCAACTTCTTCCCCTGAGCTTTTACACATGTAGCACCAACTCACATGTGTAATTCCTCTCTTTCGCAGATTTTCAGCTATCAAGATCACTCCCCTCGCTGCTAGCCATGCAAAAAAGCACACCTTCGTGGGTGCCTTAGGAATCCAGATCAATGAGTATGGAAAAATAGCCTCCTCTCTCACCAACATACTCTGGTAAAAGGACTTTACGGTGAACAAACCATCGCCACGCAACCCCCATCTCCAAGAATCGCAAGATGGATGGGGCCTGTCTTGCCCGTATAGCAGTGCCAACAAATTTTGGAGCTCCGCAATCTCCCAATCTTGCATGTTCCTTCTAAAAGAGAGGTCCCATACTACCCCCTTCATGCTCCTTGCGAATCTGTTGGACCATCAATTCCTTCTGGTTTGAAACTTTGAAAACGTGGGGGAAAGAGACCCTCAGAGTATCCTCTCCACACCACCTGTGATTCCAAAAGTTGATTCTCCTTCCATCTCCCACCCTGCAAGTGATGTTGCCATAGAAAGCTTCCCAGTTCTTCATGATGTTCCTCCACATGCCACACCCGAACGGTGCTGTGATTGCCTTGGTCCTCCAACCCCCTCCCGTGGAATCGTACTTTTCTACTATGACCTCCTTCCATAGAGCATGCTCTTCTATCCCGAATCTCCACAGCCACTTCCCCAACAAAGCTCTATTGAATACCCTAAGATCTTTTACTCTAAGTCCACCCCACTTCTTTGGGCAAGTGACTGTCTGTCAATTCACTAAATGAAACTTTCTAGTTCCATCCGCCGTATCCCAAAGAAAATTCCTTTGAAGCCGCTCCAGTTTTTCTGTGATGCTCGCAGGAGCTTGCAACAAGGACAAATAATAGGTAGGGATACTCGACAAAGTGCTTTTGATAAGCACTTCCTTACCGCCTTTTGACAAGTACCGTTTCTGCCAGCCTGCTAATCGTTTTTCAACCCTTTCAATGACTGGATTCCAAACCGTAGTATTCTTTTGCAAAGCGCCCAATGGTAGACCCAGGTAAGTAGTGGGAAGAGAGCCCAACTTGCATCCGAGAACATGAGACAAAGCATCAATGTTAGCAACCTCACCCACCGGGAAAATCTCACACTTGCCGAGGTTGATTTTGAGTCCTGATACTATCTGAAATCACTGCAGTACCTGCTTCAGGCAGGTCAACTGATCCATATCAGCATCACAGAAAACCAGGGTGTCATCCGCAAAAAGTAAATGAGAGACTCTTCGGGCACTGCGCATCCCAATCGGAGCTGAGAATCCTCTTAAGAAGCCTCCACCCGCCGCACGATCCATCATTTTACTCAGAGCATCCATCACTAAAATGAATAGCATGGGGGATAGGGGGTCACCTTGCCTGAGACCCCTGGAGATGCCAAAGAAACCACACGGGCTACCATTAACCAGGACATAGAATCTGACTGAGGAAATGCAGAACTTGATCCATCCCCTCCATCTTTCCCCAAACCCTATCCGCTTCATAATGAAGTCCAGGAACTCCCAATTGACATGGTCGAAAGCCTTCTCAAGGTCCAACTTGCACAGTAAGTCGGGTTCTTTATTTTTCCTTCTGGAGTCTACAAGTTCATTTCCCACCAGAGCAGCATCCACGATCTGCCTACCTTCCACAAACGCATTCTGGGAGGACGAAACAGACACATCAAGAACCTTCTTGAGTCTGTTGGAGAGCACTTTAGAAATAATCTTGTAAATGCTCCCCACGAGACTGATAGNAGCATCCAGGATCTGCCTACCTTCCACAAACGCATTCTGGGAGGACGAAACAGACACGTCAAGAACCTTCTTGAGTCTGTTGGAGAGCACTTTAGAAATAATCTTGTAAATGCTCCCCACGAGACTGATAGGCCTGTAGTCTCTGATACAAGATGTGCCTTCTTTCTTAGGCACAATAGTAATAAAAAAAGCATTGATGCTTCTCTCGAAAGCACCATTCACGTGGAAGTATTCGATGGCTTCCATCAACTCCCCCTTAATGGTGTCCCAACAGAGCTGCAAGAAGGCCAAGGAGAAACCATCAGGCCCGGGGGCCTTATCACCAGCACAACTCGACACAGCATCGTGTACCTCCTCCTCCTCGAAAGCTCTTTCTAGCCACTCATTGTCTCCCTCCCCTATGTGGTTGAACTCTATTCCCCCCAAAGTAGGCCTCCAACTAACTTCCTCTTTGTATAAGTTCNGCCTTCTTTCTTAGGCACAATGGTAATAAAAGAAGCATTGATGCTTCTCTCGAAAGCACCATTCACGTGGAAGTATTCGATGGTTTCCATCAACTCCCCCTTAACAGTGTCCCAACAGAGCTGGAAGAAAGCCAAGGAGAAACCATCAGGCCCAGGGGCCTTATCACCAGCACAACTCGATACAGCATCGTGCACCTCCTCCTCCTCGAAAGCTCTTTCTAGCCACTCATTGTCTCCCTCCCCTATGTGGTTGAACTCTATTCCCCCCAAAGTAGGCCTCCAACTAACTTCCTCTTTGTATAAGTTCTCGTAAAACCCCACTATCGCCCCTTTTACCTCCTCCTCTCCCTCAATCCTCACCCCATCCACAACTAAGGACTGAAGTTTCTCCTTCGATTTGCAACCGCAACCCTGTGGAAAAACTTGCTATTCGAATCCCCCTCCTTTAACCAGAGCGCCTTTGATTTTTGCCGCCAACTAGTCTCCTGAGCTATTGCTAACTCGACTATTTCCCTCTTAACCTCCCCCAATCTCGCTTTCTCAGATTCATCTAGCTCCCTCGCCCCTTCCCCTCTATCTAATTCCCCCAATTCATGCATAAGCTTCCTCATTTTGACCTCTACCCTCCCGAAGACCTCCTTATTCTACCTAATAATATCTCTCTTGAGCAATTTGAGTTTCTTCGACAGACGGAATGAAGGTGACCCTGATACCCTGTAGCTTGTCCACCATTCTTTCACTTTGTCACCAAATCCTGGCACTTTCAACCACATGTTCTCGAATCGGAAGGGAGCACGCACCCCCTCCCTCTGCATCCATCTAGCA